CCAAATGCTCCTGACAGACTGCTCACCAGTAATCCCTAATTGCCATCCACAGTATTTGAAAAGCCATTTTACGCAGAAAATTATGTCAAGTGAGCAATTTTACAAGTAACTAACATAGGAATGAATTAAATTTTAGGCATAAATCACTAACTACCCTTACTTGACAAGGCTATGAAATATTTGAACTTGCCAACTCTTCTTTATGAAATATTTCAAATTTAGAAATTCAACGATTATCTAATCAGCTTACTCAAAAAATGTAAGAGCCATCAGAAGGAAACTTCTCAGTTCAATCTGATTAATACCAGTCAGATTTAATGAAAATAATCAAATGAGATTGCTCTCAGATGCAGTGTCTAGTTCCACACTTGCATTCAGGAACATAGAAAAACATAAAAATAATTTTACTAAAAAAAAAAAAAAAGAATAAATTTACATTCAAACTAAAGTTTAGACAACATGGCTTAAGCTTGAAGAAAAGAATGCATATTTTAATTTTACTTGCAACCTGGGAAAAAAAGTTAGAAAATTTGAACTAAATGTGTCAGATTTAAGAAGTCTTCCTGCGTCTTCAGACTTTCCAGTGCAGCAGGCACAGGAGTGAGGAAGAAAGCTCCTTGGCTCCACACGCAGTGTCAGAGCTGAACGAGCACTGCCTATACTTGTCCACTGGCTATTTTTGTGTCTGCATTTGTAGTCCTGCTTGACTAGAGGCTCTGAAACCTGAGCGGTCTTGGGTTGCTTGAGTTTTCATTCACAGTGGGGTGTAATCTCATCTCTGCAATGCGCTGTGCCCGCCGCTGCTCCCAGGCTGGGTTCCGCTGGGGGCAGATGTGGAGCCATCAGCCTTCAAGGAGTGCAGCCTTGAGGAGGTGAGAGTTTCTCTCTCCTTTAGGGGAACGTGCAAGAACTGTATGAAACATTTATACGAAAATCCCAACTCTTTCAACTAAGAGCAGGATTCCCACTCAGCTCAGTTGTTTTATGTTGGAGATCACAGCCCTCCTGCTTTTGAAGAGCCTTCCCTTGTTCAGCTAACCTACACTTCTGCACAAAGTCTTTTGTCTCTTCTGAAGTATCAGTTACTAACAGATTTACTTATTTTGGGGCTGAAATTTTCAAGACACAGTTTATGGTTTTATTGTTAGAAACCAGTAAGACATTTCATATTTTGTTACCCTCAAATTGAAATAATTTCCCTATAGCAAATGCCACAGTGGCCATTAAATTGTGTTTCTCAGGTAAAACTAAATGATGATTTTTTTTTTTTTTTTCAGTAGTGTAGTGCTATGAACGCAGACCATGAAACGTGTCCATTGACCCTCAAAATTCTTACAGTCTACAACAGGAAATAATCTGTGATGTTTTATCCCTTTTCAGATTTAAATAATTTCCTTATTACTGAATTATCTTCAACTGAACTCTAGTACTAAACCAGATTCTACTGCATATGTGAAAGGCAATATTAAAAAAAAACTCTTGCTAAAAATAAACTTATTATGCTGGCAGTAAAAGATCAAAAGCAACTATGTAATTAAAAATTATTAAATTGAGAGCACATATGAAACAAACTCTACATTGTGCTTTTAATTAAAAATATTACCCTGTAAATTAAAACTGAAGGCTTAAAAAAAAGTAATCAAGGTCAAAAGAATTAATGGAGAAAGTATCTTTGTACAACTTTGAAACTTCTGAGTAAATTTAAGATTAAACACAGGAAATTCTACTGGAAAGAAATTAAAAAGGGAAAAAGAGATCTACACAAAAAGTTGCCGTGTAGATGCATTATTTTTGTCAGAAAATAAAAAGGCTCCATGTCAAATTAGGAGATCTCATCAGCATTCTGCCACAGAGCAGGCTAATAATGCTGCAGAAGATCACTCTTCCTGGGAGGACAGGTACAGAATACCTCAGCAATGACTTTGGCAATCTGATTTGTGAGTGCCCGCCTGCAGAACGCTGCTTCCTTCCAGCAGCGGATGGGGAGGAAGGAAAACAAACAAATTAACAGAATGTTCTCCTTGCCCTAAGTTTTCCTTTAAATAAAAGTCAACAGCCTAATCTTTTTGTCTGCTAAATCCAGTGTTGGAGCGGAGTACAGCTGTTGTTGAGAGGGGTTCAGACGCCAGGCGTGTGACAGGGTCACTGTAAGAACAGTTTCAGCTAGCTTCAGACACAGGAGCATCACAGGATTTGTTTCCTGTGGACACGCCAGACAAGTACAACTTGTGAAGTTTCAGTTGTTTGAGTATGAAAACTGAAAAGGGGAAGCTTTGCCCAGCTGAAGAACTGGCTGCCTGGACACAGCTGCCACCTGTGGAGTGGAGAGAAGAGGGAGCAAGTTCTCAGTGTATGGCTTTAGCTATGGCAGCTATGAACATCTGAACCCTGCCCTGCTACCGAGATCAGCTTGTCCAGCAAAGACACAACAAAGGAGTCATCAAGTACCTGGTGGTTGGATTTCTCTGGGTTCTCCTTACGTGATCATCCATAGGTGTTGGGCACATGGTGATGTTGAGACAAGCAAGTTCTGCAGCACTTCTTCTTGACGGATTGATTTTAGTAGCCAGTGCCTGTATTCTTTCACCTGTACCAGCAGATTAAACCTCTGTGTGCTGGAAGACACTGGGCTGACTGCCTCAAAAATTAACCATTAGCACACCTGTAACTTCAAAAACATACTGGTGTATGAATTAAACACGTAACTCTAAACAGATCACATCTCACCACTTTAGTAGCATTTCAGTGAAGGCTCATTTGTAAAACAGGAGAAATAAATCCATATCAAGAACACTGAAGTCTATAGTTGGATTTCCTTCCCTACCAATTATGAAATGGCAGCTGACATTGTCCTTTTTGGGAAGTATTTGGATTAGAAGTATTCTCGTTACCTGTGACTGGTTAGCCAACAGAGGGAGTGTGGAACAGACTGGGACACTGACAAAATTATAGCTAAACAAACCCCTGTAACTCTCAGCATGAAATAATACCAAAACCAAAATCATCATCTGTATGATTTTCCAAGCCACCCTAAAAACATTTCAACTCAAGTACAATATGTAATAATGTCTTAAATAAAGTGGTCGCTTTGTAAGAAGACAAACACTTCTCTGAGTTTTTTAACCTTTTGCATGCCAAGAGTCAGCATTAGACAGAGATCATAAATCCACTTGTAAACAGGCAACTGACTTTCTTCACTGGCAATTTTTTCCTGAAACTCTCACCACGTGTAGTGGAGAGCAGATGACATTTTACTTATGACAAATAATTTTATATATGCACCATTTTCAGCCTTACCTTTTCAAAAACAGAGATAAATAACAATCAATATTCATGTACCCTTTATTTGCTTTCAGTGTAACATTCCATGCTAATTGCAGATGTAATATTCTTGAGTGTAAATATAAGAATTAACAACTCTGGGTTGGTATTCTTCTCTCTTGTTTTTACAGGTGAATATTTTGGCTTACAAAATTAACAGCATACAGTAAATAATCCTCCCATACTTTGTACAAACTACATGATTTTGATATACAAGGATTCTGTTTTTTATTACAGTGACAATATACAACCATGTCTATTTACAATGCAAAAAGTATATAAACCACATTTTAAACATTCTGCTACTGGCAGCCACTGTTGTTCAGGAGGTAGCTTTAATTAACAAAATGAACTGAAGCCACATTTCCCATCATGTGCTCTATCAAATAATTTACAATACAAAGATAAAAATTCATTGTATGAACAGTATATACAGTTTAATTCTCAAAACAGCAATCTAGCTTTCAATCTTAATGAGAATGACTCCAGAGTAACTGGGATGGCCATGGATTTGCTCTTGATTTAGTTGTTCAAGAAACATACATAATTACTTACCATGCATTCATAACTTTATATCAATCAGATTTCAAGCTAAATATAGATAAATGGATCACTGATTGTACTTCAATCATTTGGGTCTCAGGACTTGAGTGGTTTAAAACTACTGCACTGATTTACATGAAAATCAGTGACTTTGCACAGTGTACTTCACTCCCAGTAAAATAATTGGAAAAAAGCTTTTCTTTATTGCAAAACTGCTTTCTGTTTTCCCTCCCTTTGCTAAAATCTCAGCCTATTTAGAGACGTTATTGGGGTGCTGTAACATTCAACAGGCTGGGGAGCATTAGCCAGTCTTCTTGCAAAGACATGATCTGTGTTCATCGGCAGCACTGCCAACACCCCCGATGCATGGGTGTCCCTTCCAACAGCGCGACCCGACTGCCTAACACTGAAGGAACCTGCTGTGGTTCACCTGAAGTAATGCATCACCACTGGAAACGTGTCCCACCCTGGTATTCCTGACAGCTGCTAATATGCTTATATTGTCTACACATACCGTGGATTACAAGTGCTTTATAGTCACAAAACCTTGTTTAAAAATTGAACGTGGGTTTGAAACACACAACAAACATGGTATTCCTATATTGCTGTCACAGTTACATATGGGAGAATTAATCCCTTTTTTGGCCCTGCAGTAAAATTCATCCTGAGATTCAATGCTGAATACACTATACAAAGCTAGCAAGAGTTTTTTTGCTTAATTATAGAAAAGTCACATTTAAAAATAATTTCTTTAGTATTAAACAGCTGTCCTTTACATTGTGCTTTGGCAGAAAAAAAAATTCAACAGAATTTACCCCGCCAACAGCAGAAGCAAAGTACAACTGGAGTACAATGTGGAAACACACCATTAGCATGTAAAAAAACCGTATAAAAAAAACCACTATTGCATGGAAAGAGTAAAAATATTGGGTAACAAATTTGGTTTACAGTTCGGGCAATTGATTTGTTTCATTATTTTTAGAAGTATGGCTCAGGGAGTTACTGCCCGCTTCCCTTCTTTACAAATAACACTCAACGATGATTTTGCAAAAGTGCTTCCTGCTCAAAAGGTCAAAACAGGCGACGGCCTATGAAGCATTGCAGCTCTGGGGAGCGCGGCCAACGGCAGGCACCTCTCAGTCCTTGATCCGCGGAATGTTGTAGGCGTAGCGGACCAGAGGGAAGCCCCGGCTCTGGTAGAAGCAGGCCCGGCCGCAGGCCTGCACTTGGTCCGAGCTGTCCGACACGAAGGAGTCGTCTTCGTCCGCATAGTCCGAGTGGGCCGACTGGGTGCCGCAGTCCGACCAGTAGCCGTCCGGCCTCTGGCAAGGCACCACTGCCAGCGCGGGGCAGCTGTGGGATTTTATTAAATGTTTACAGGGCACTGGCTTGGACAGAAGGAGCGACTCGCAGCATTCGCACACGGTGACATTCCCCTGCAAGTGGGTGTAGATGCCGCAGTCGTAGTAGAAGTCCTGCGTGGCGCAGCCGCCTTGCAAGCCGACGGCAACCGCCACCGCCCCCTTCCTCCTGCCCGCGCGGCGCCGGAGCAGCTTCCAGTCTTCCTTGAACTTCGGGTTGAAGAACACGTACAGAACCGGGTTCAGGCAGGCAGGCAACGGGAAAAATATCAGAGTAACAGACTTCATGATTTCGGGGCTGATGGAAATCGCAGTGATCAGCGGTGCAAACGAGAAAAACGCAACAGGGCAGAAGAAGATGCAGTTTGTGAAGATGAGCCAAGCGACATGCTTAATGGTGCTGGACTGGGAGTTTTCGGAGAGGTCCTCTTTTTCCAGGTTGCAGTACAGTTTAGTGTAGATAATGGCCATTAGCAAAAATGCTAAGGAATTCAGCAGCACTAACGTTACTGTGAAACCTAGGGAAGGCGTTTCTCCTGTGGGGAAGGGCAAGCACAGGGGTGACGCCGAGTGCTCCACCTTATAGAAGAGCGGCAAGCACCCCGCTACCACAGCGCACAGGAAAGCGCACACGGCCGCCAGCTGGAATTGCTTCTGGCGGTTGCTTTTCCCCTTTTGAACCATCTCCTTCACAGAGAAGCTCCGTTCAACAGCTGCCAACATCAGGAAGAAAATGGCACTTTCTGACGAGAAGACTGCAAGGAACCCAGCAACTCTGCAACCACTGCCAGTCTCCCACCATATGCCAAACTCAGCAAATCTTCCCCAGGAGACAGCATCCAAGAAAGTTAAAATACCAGTATAGACTCCCATGAATAAGTTAGAGACAGAAATCAGGCCGATGAACAGTTTGGAAGATGGCAATGGAGTACAGGATGCAAATATTGTTAACATGACAAGCAGGTTGAAGAACAAAGCAACCAAAAAAATAAACCAGACAGTAAGTCGAATCATCCAGCTGCCCAATAAATATTCACAAGGCTTAAATGCACCTAGAAGAAAAAAAAGAAAAACAAAACAAAAGGACAAGCAATTTAGGAAAAAATCGTGCCTTAATAAGCAAGATTTTCAAAAGGTATTACAAGAGCACTCCTCATTAATTCATGAATAGAGTACGCAGCTGAACTGCTAAATAGGTCAGCTGAAAGTAAACTATTCTGCAGAAGCTATTTACTAATTAATTATGCCTGAAATAATGATTACTGCAGTGAATGGTCACTTGAGAATACTTTGTATAAACAAGCTAGCCAAACAAACTTAATTACCTTTTAGCTACTCAAATAGCTTTCATTAGTGCCACCTAAATACTTTTTTTTTCTTTAGATTTCATACTTCATAAAAAAAGTTGGTAACAAAATAAAAGCAAACTTTCACAACCAACTTGTAAGGGGAAAGAATTTTTTAGAAGTAACATGTTCTATCAAAAAAATGATTCACAAATATGCCTTCTGGAGTAACTTCTGGTCACAAGGAAACATCTGTCAAGCAGCTGACAAATTCAATTTAATCAGCATTAATAGGGACAGGAACTCACTACCAGCCCTCTCCCCTACCCTCACCACTGAAAGGCACTGTGAGCCTGGAAAGCCACAGAGAGAAAATGTTGGGGGTTTTTTTTCCTTCTTCTTTTGCCATTTGAAAAAGCTTAAATAATAAAAAACATCCAACAACAAAATAATATGAGGCGAGACAAGGAAAAAAGGTCACTACAACTGCTTACCCTTCTAATCCTTCTAATTGCCATTTATTCCATAGGGAAATCCTACTGATTTTAAGTAACAATTAGAAGAGTTTAACCTCCCCTACAGTCCCCATTAGGCACTACTAATTGTCCAAAGCACAATAGCTGGAGATCTCTCCCTGCGGTTGGGCACTCTGGGAGCTGAAGGCAGAGCACAAAAATGCCAAACTGTGTCACCACCTCGAGCTGGAGATTCTGAGCCAGATCCAGCCCATGGCTCCTGGCTCTGCACAGCCTGTGCCCTCCCTTCAGGCAGGTGAAAGGTAAATACAGCCTGTCCCAAACATGGGCTGGAGCAGCGACTGTGGGGAACGATTAAATGTCAGCACAAAAAAATCTCCCAAAGCAGCTTCCAGAAATTACTGAACTGACAAGACAAAAAGGAGCCTTTTTGTTTGTTTAAAGCAAGCCTCACTTCTCGGCAAGAAATAATGGTGCTAATTGGATTATCAGACCAGTAAAATCAGCAGTGAAATCCTTTTTTTGCAGGTATCCTTGAGTAAGATAGCCTCACCAGAATAGCTATTTTTACAGTACTTTCACATGATGCAACAATATCTGCTGAGTCTACTTAAAAGTAAAAACAACTTCCTACTTAGGAAATTATAAAATGTCAATGCTGTGCTTCCAAAAATCAGTTTGAAGTGTACTCTCTAGCAGCTGTACAGTGAAGCGTCTTTCGACAAACAAAACCTACCACCCTTTCCTGTCTTTCTCCCAAGGTCCAGCTATCCTTAGAGCTAGAAGTTACCCTCCTCTCTCACTAATATTCCCAGCCCACCAGGGAAATTCATGCTCGGAATGACGAGTTTCAGGGTTTTCAGTGCTATGCTGCTAGAGTGTCACTGTTTTTCCTGCCATCAGACAAAGCCAAAAGTGGATCTACAAGATGAGCAGTGATTCAGCACTTCCATGGCAGGCGGAGTGTCCTACTTATGACCAGACAACAGCATAGCACAGAAAACAAGCTGCTAGTATGGGAGGGACTGGTGAAAAACAAGCAAATTGTGAACTTGTAAAACAAGCTCTTCATTGCTTTCAGAGCTACAGCATCTCTGGCATGGGCAAAAATAGAGAGCTAAAGGCTTTACAGATATAACCCTGTAACACGACCTGAATTCTCGTTCTGTGAACAGGAGATCAAAATCAAGTAAGCAGCATTGGTCAAATTAATTCTCAGATCATGTACAGTTACAGTAATAATTTATTTGACTTTCTGACCACATTTTTTTTTGGTTGTGATCAAGTAATCCTTGTGGTATTCTGTATACTAAAGCTGGAGCTACCCATAAAGATGAAGAGTGAGCAGATTTTCATAATGGATGTAAAATACCAGTTTAGGAGAAGGGAATGAAACAAGGCTTGGAAAACCCTTGCTCATCCAGGAGGAACTTCACTGGATGCATACTGCTCCCTCCATCTATGTGGTTCCTGTTCACCCAAACAAGAGAGTGCAAGATGTGTAGAAGGGATCTTCTGGACAGCCCATGGCACAGGCAAGGAAATAGGAGGCACCACAGCAAGCACTTTAGGAACTCAGTGGAACTATGTGTGGAAATTTGCAATTTGAGGAAGATAAGCAGAAGGGCAGCAAGAAAGCTGCCCAGAATGAAAGTATTTGTTTGCAAGGTCAAAGACTTTCAACACTCCTGGATTATTTAAGCCTGAATTGGAGTAGTTCTGGTATGCCAATAAGACTACTCATTGAACAAATCTGTAGCAGCTTGAGATGCTACTGCCTGCTCCAGCTCCTTGTAACAGCCCTCTGCTGTCAGTTAATGTGGCTATAGTGGGGCTGGGGAACACAACACATGAGTGTTCCTCACCCTCTCTCCTACAAAGGCATCAGGCTAAGTTAAAAACACCAGTGACAGCAGTCTGAGTTAAGCTTTTAAAGCACAGGCTAACTTCTCACTGAAATAGATAAGCCTTGATACAGTCTGCTGCACAGACATCTCTTTGGCACAGGTAATGCAGAATTAAGGGGCAGAACATTACACACAGCAGGCTCCAAATACAAGTATTACAGTCTTGATTGTTCTGCATAGGGAAACAAACTTCTGGTTTTTCCTAGCACAGCTCTCCAACAGCGTGCTATGTGTCTAAAGCTGATCCAAATCTTTGTGACTGTGCATCCAAAACAACACTGACATCAAATGAAGCTTCACCCAAGCATTGTAGAATTTAATCTTCTGTGTACAGAATGACCACAAGGAATGAAACCTGTAATTCTGCTGACAGCTATTTGCATAACACCATGCCTGAAGTTCACAGGGTGGCTAAAGCACACTAAGATTTACCTGTTGCTGGTGTACAGTGAATAATAGTCTGTCCCAGTTCCTCATTTTCCTCGTTTCTTAGAACATCTGCATCAGCTGTACCCGAGTAAAAATGAGAAACAGGTTAGTTGTAGGAAGACAAAAAAAAAAAAGTGAAATGCAGTGAAGCTGCCCAGGATGGCAGCAGTCCTTTGAAAGATCACAGAGCTAACACTTGCCAGCGTTCAAGCCTTTAACAAGTGGAACTGTTCTCCTTTGCCACTGAAGGTCGAATGCTCAGTGCAGAAACAGCTGCAGCAGTTTGAGTTACTGTTGCCTGTCCCAGATACTCACAACCCTTTACAACAAAGCAACAACATCTTTCACCACCAGGGGAAAGTTCTACAAGCCCTGGAGTAGACAGGAGAAGGACAAGACCTTCTGAATAGGAAGGTCAAAATACTGAGGACTATAAAACATTTTCTGTTCTGGCAGAAAATGACAGGAACAATACTGGCAGCTTGTATTTTTTGTAAAATGGATCACTCATTTATTAAAAACAGGCAAATCTTACGCTGTCAGATAAACTTGTTTCATGCACATACAAGGAACATGGCACTGCTGATCTACAAGCAACTGCTACACACTTTCAGAGACAGCTTTTGTATCCCTATAAAGATTTTTATTTTCCACATTTCCTTACTCAAAGACACCATACACTATTATTTGGTTTAGTCTGTGCCAAAATAATACTGTCAGCTCAGTACAGTGAAACACTCACCCTTCTCCCGATCCATCAGGGCACCTTGATCTTTGTGACCAGAATCCTCAGCATTAGAGTTTAGGTAAGAATCACAGCCCCAAAATGCACAGCACTGGTAAGCATATGGTACAGAGAGTGACCTGAAACGGAGGCAGAACAAGAGTGTTACCCACTGTTACAAGCTAAAATTACCCCCTAAGTGGCACACTTCAGGGCTAAAGCTAAAGCTTCTTTTTGTCATGGGTACTAATAAGAAACTATCTCACATTGGATCAGTTGTAACCATTTCTGATGAACTGTGGCACCGAGACAAAGGACAGGTGATGCATCCAAGTGTCATCTGTTGCAATGAATACAAAATTCTGCCCTATTTAACTATCTTTACTACTCATTCTACTCCATATACAAACCAAATTCTGATCAGTGTTTGTGGCACTGCTGTAAAAATTAAACTGAAAACTAATTAAGCAAGTTAATTGAAGAGTAATTGTTTTGTAAAAAATTTAATTCCCAGATATCAGAATGTTATAAATTACATCTCTCCTTCTCTTCATTTTGTGGCCCCAAGAATAATTTTTTTTCCTCCCTACCGTTTTTTTGATGTTTGTCAGAAATGGTACATACTGTCAATCCTGTCAGAGAAAAAGCACAGCTGCAAACAGTCTTAAAAGATCCACATAAACAATGAGATAATAGCAGATCAGAAGCTAATTTTCCTGACTTGTGGCTACAAAATTAACTACCTGCAGTATTATTCCTGAATTCTGTTCTTGTACATATTTAAGAGGAACATCAGTCTACAGGATCCCACAATGTATTAGTTCCCATGCACAGATCACAACCTAAAACCCAATCTGCTGTTTCCACACTGCTGAGGCCTGACTGTAAAAGGGACATGGATTCCTTTGCTGGCCCTTAGACAAATTAACAGTATCTTCATTTTAACATGGGACAGTATGGGAAACAATTTCTAACTGCTACTTCTTAATATGCAGAAAGATCTTTGAAAATGCAAAGCAGTTTAACACTGTCTGATCCACCTCCCACTGAAACCAGTACCAGACTTCCATTTGAATGATTACTGTTACTCTTATCATTTGCCTCCAAGAATAAACAGCATATGTATAAAGTGTGGTGCTTATGGAACCAGACACCTGCACGTCTGCTCCCCTTTTCCACACTCCAAAAGACAGATGTGCTCAGTTCAATAACAAATGGAATCCACCCAAACCACTGCTCCGAAGGCAGATGCTATCAGTGGAGGAGAATTAAAGAAGGTTCCAAGAAAACTGCCTGCAGATGGCTTCCATACCAGACCAGTCAGATGCCCTTTCACAGATGCCAACATTGAGGCACCACAGGTCTCAGCAAAGTGCCTGATCATTTGTCAGTATTACCTACACTGTCTGCCTTTGCTGTCACATCGCTTGCTATGCCAAAATAAGCAAGGCACCTCGTGGAGTTATCTACCAACGTACCGGAGCTTGGCGAAGTTCTTCGCTGCCAAAGCTTCCTTCAACTCAGAATTGCCTGCAAGTTTAAGCTGGTTCAGTCCACTCAGTCCTTCAGTTGGAAATGAAGTGAGTTCATTGAAACTTAGGTCTCTGAAACGTAAATATTAAGACAATGTTACAACACAGTAAGTTTGAAGATCCCATAGCATGGATTTCATTATAGTAGGAAGGCTTTTTAAAGTCCCACACCAAGGCTGTGGTCTGGCAAGTGCCCATCAGCGCAGCAGGCACTAAAGCAGCATGCCCCGCATACATTCAGTTAGTGAGAGCTTTTGTGCTCCAGAGGTGAAACACACAATGGGCATGGATCAATTTTAAGCTAAAACCACTTATTGTCTCAGCAGTTTAATGACAGAGGAGGTTGCTGCACAGAATGGCCTACTTACAGGTTAACAATAGCTCCAAGAGTGGTGAAAGCTTCCTTGTGCATCTGGTGGATCTGATTTCTACTGAGATCACTGCAATGAATGCCAAATGAGATTATTTTAGCAGTTTCACCAAACCTTTCTAACAGCCACCGGACTGAGCAATAATCTAAGGTGACAAATACATGATGCCGTTGTCAGAAAAGCTGAACCACTCTCCCATTTCCCCTCTCCCCCCAGTCAGCCAAGTGCAGCAGTAGCCAAATCCCTTGGTAAAGCAGCTGCATCCTGCTTCAACTCATCCCCAGAGTAAAATCCACACCACATTCCTCCCCCCTTTCCTCTCCTGCCTGGCCCAAGCAGCTCCCAGGGCAGAGGATGGCTCTGGCACCATCCATGCCCAGGCTGCAGGTGCCAGGATGACCCCTGGTCACAGCAGCAGCTGCAGCCGCACATGGCAGCAGGGGTGGAAAAGAACAAGCAGATGAGCAACTGCTTTGTGGGATTTCAAAATCCAGGTGCTGCTGGATCACCGTGACTTATGACATGACTTTTAAAGCATCTGTCACATTATGGTTGGTGGGGTTGTTTTTTTTTTTTAAATAATTTAAATGTTTCTATATAATCTTCTTATAGCTAGATATGTAAGGGGAGGGGATAATTTTTGTTTTCTGGTCTGCTTCTTCTAAGGACAACAGATAGTATCTCTCCAACAAATACTATATAATGGAATACTATATTAATAACAGAATGCAAAATAGTGGACTATCAAAAAAAAAAATGTATCGTTTTAAGCATCTCTCTCTCTCTCTCTCTAAAAAGATCATTATACGTTAGAAAAGCAAAATAGAGACTAGAAAGAATGAGACAATCTCACTGCTACCATTATCTCCTCTACACTTCAGCTCAGGATCCAGCATACCTGGCCTTTTGCCATCAATCAAGATTTCTAACACCAAACCCTGACATCAGCTGACATGGGAATCACCCTCTTGTTTTACTCAGCATGCAGCTATGTGCACTTACAGGACACGAAGGGAGGACAGTCCTTGAAAGGTATCCTCTGTGATTTCATGGATTTGATTGTGCTGTAAGGAACTGCAAAGTGAAGAAGCAGAAACATAACTTTATTGGCTAAATGGGCTGACTTCAAAACAAGGGATAAATTGGTGCCCAGTAATACACAGATTTAGCCTTACCAATGGCAAGAGTTCTCTCTATTCCCCTCATAGGCAAACTGTTCCAGTATTTGGCATTAGCCATGTTAACACAACAACAAAGGTATCTTGTGGCACCTTTGCCCAAATCCCAATTCAGATCTCATTTAGAGGAGACTTAAGTGTGGACTTAATTATTTCCAAGCTAAAGGTAACACTTTATGAACAGGTGCTACAAGAAGAGGAGCCACACTGAGTTTTAAACAAACCTACTTCATTCTGCAGGGGTTCTTTAGAGATTTTCTAAGCATGTGTGCACTTCCATTACTCAAAATATGGATTTATGAAAAGAAAACATTGAGAAATGCCTCAAGAGCTAATGGGCCAACTATACTTCTAGCTCACTAGTTCTCTTCACAATGAACCATGCATACAAGGAGCTCAAATATGTCAAGAGTAAAACAGACTTCTCACAGGCTACTGCAATTAGCTCCGCTCTGGTTAAGGGCAAAGAAGCTTCAGGGCAATAGAAGTAGGAGAAGTAGGATCATTTGCAGGTGGAAAAGCTGTGTGGGGTCTGGAAATCAAGTTTAATAAGCTTTAAAGCAATGGAATAAGGAAAAGCAAAGATGGGTTTTGAATATGCCTTAAAGGTACTAGAGGAAAAAAAAAATTTATACAAGTATAAGCTGGTGGTTGGAGGGACCTGAAGAAGAGTCAAGAGGTAAGAGACAGGAAAGACAACACATAAATGCTCATACAATTTACGCTTACAGCAGCAGTACTATGAAATGTAGGTCTAAGGTGTCCTTCATTCTTTTCTGTGGCATATCAACAATTAAACCTTAGCTAACTGAGGAAACACAAGTGGTTGAATTCACTGTCCAGCACACTCCTCACATCAGGTGATCATATTCTCTCTCTCTGACCTTAACCTGAGAAATTTATGATCAAACATGAAGCAAAAGAGTGCCTAGAGCCTTGGACTCAGCACACTATGGAGGTAATAAAGATAATCAACATGTATTTCTACTTACATTTCTTCCAAGGAGTTACAGCCTTTAAAACTTGGGAGGTCCTTTATATTGTTGTAAGACAAGTCCCTTCAAAACACAAAATGAGAAAAAGATGCTGCATTCAACTCTTTTCTACCTGAAACATCTCATCACTCGCAACCATGAACTGACTGGCAGAAAAATCTTCCTGTTAGTAGCATTCTGTAGAAAACTAAGAGCCGTTTAGAGAAAATAATGAAGGGAATCACAAGTGTGATCTCTTCACTGTCATCCTCACTAGCCCCACTATGCACTTTGATCATACCTACATACACCTAAAGATGTAGAAAAATATAACTGCTATGCCAAGCTTACAACAGTCAGCAAATAGCAGAAAAAACACTATGTAACTATAAAATGTTAATTCATTGCCTTATATTCGTTCTATTCATGCAACCTTTTTAAAAGGTACATTTCTTCCTCCCCCTTTTTGCCTCTGAATTCAGTGAACCATTTTTTACTTTCCTGAAATATTCAGCCAGCGACGAAAAGCAAGCAAGCATTAAAAAACTTTCATCCCAAAGCTCCCTTATTCTTCCAACTTGAACAACTGGAGTCAGCGCTCTCTAATTGAAAAGTAATGGAGGAACAGGCTGTGCCTTTGTAGTGGCTTCAAGAGCTCACCAAATGCCTCCCAACCAGTATTTTTGGTTCTATATGCTGTTTCCATGTATATTCTGGGTTACTGCTCTCACCTCTGCATCTGGATATACATACACCCCAAAACCATACTGTACAAATTCCCTGAATTCTGAGACTTGTAATCTGAAAATGTTTACTGGTAATCTGGGGCTTTTTAAACTGAACTGGATAGGAGGTATGCAATACAGGAATTCAGTTCCTTAGCAGCACTAGCAAAGTTCAGAATTTTCTGTGAAACTATGCAGCTAAAAGGAAGGCTAGAAACTTGCAAATAATCTTCAAATTTCTGCTTAAAAGATGACCTGTCATTTGAAAATAAATCCTACCTCATCATTCTTTTTCCCCAGTTTTTCATCTACAAATGAGAATAGATTTTTTTCCCTTCCATTTTTGAGCACTTGCTTTTGTTCCAAATTTTCCTGTGTGTATCCTTTGTAAACACGACTTTGCTTCTCTACTCCCAGTGGTTTCATTTACCAATTTTGTGTTTTTTGAATTTATTTTAACACAACCTTACTTCTTTTTCTGTCTTGCCTTTGTATTACTATCCTCTTCCTAACCATTTCTCTTGGTTCCTGATGCTCTCTCCTGCGTTCTCTAACACACAAAGTCAAAGCAGCATCACTAAACTCTTCCCTAACCTCTGAACGTAGATGACTACTGTTATGCTAAGAATGAATAGTTCCAGATGAATATGAAGATTCTGCAGCAACACCTCACATATCTTTTATAACATCTTACAGAAATACAGTGCATCCCTAAAGAGGGATAAAGAGACCCTATTTCAGGAATGTAAAACACCACATCAACTCTGCCATGAGTCTTGATTTGAAGAATTAACAAACCAGAGTCAGATTTTCAACTTAATAGACCTACTAGGATGAGGAATTCTAAGCAGTATTGTCCCCTTGAATTAGACTTGAGTTTCTTTCTTTTAAAAGATCTTGGTGTAGATGAAAATAGAAGCACAACGTGTATACTTACAAAGTTCGTAGCACCTTTTGCTCTTGGCATAAATTCACAGGAACACTGTTTATCTTGGTCCCTGTTAGAGTTCTGTGAAAAAACCACCAGCCATATATAAATGTTTGTCTTGTAGATGGTATGGCATAACAGGCAGATGTAAAAGCAGAATAAGGATGGTGTCAGCTATCAGGGTGCTAGATTCACCCACTGAAATTTCTACTGTATTTTGGTGGAGGTCAACTTTTCTGGTTTTCAGTTCTGTGAGAGGGGGGCTACTATAAATGGCCTTTTTGTAAGCCTACCCTATTTAGAAAAAAATAATGTTAATAGACACCTGGCTATCCCAGTAAGGAAAGCTATATAGTAACAGTTATTGGCAGGAAGAGAACAGAAATCCAGCTGGCTCTCCAGATCAACCAATTCTAACCACTCCACAAGGGCCAAAAGCAAGAAATGACTGGAAATTATTTCAATAGAAGATACTTACAAACTCTCCAGATTAACAGTTCCTGTCAAATTAGGAAACCACTGCACCATGCTGGCACCCCGAATGACCCTAAAAATATCCACAGGAAAATTAGCTGTAAACTATTATGCAAATGAATTGTGGCATTCAATCCTGCTATCAGGTAGATATTTTCACTAGGAAGACATTCTGACTTTCTTAGTGCTTTTGATTAAATTTCACACACAAATAGTGTGTAAAAGTCTTCGCTGCTTTTTGTGTGAGTAATTTGCTTAATAAATCACCCTGCCCTTCTCATGAAGCTGAAAGAGTCGCATCAACACACAATGAAAAGGGCATAGACTCCTAGGTAGCTTGTAGTTCAAAGTTTGAAGCCTCGCTCTATTTTGCTGACTTGTCACCCCCAGAAGTGATAAGGCTGGAAAGCTTGCATGCACTGACCTGCAAAACACGCTCACAATGTACATCCCTCTTTGAAAACCACCCAGGACACACTGCAGTTTGTTTAAGAACCTGAGCATTTGGCCTGGGGTTACATGTCTTATGCAAGGTAACAAAGACATCTCAAAAAAACCTGAAAAAAGTTGTAGACCTCATTTATTAGAACTTCTTAAGAAACTAGACAGTCCCAACAATAACAATGTTTACTAAAGCTTATTGAAGAAATTAGGGTGAGAGGCAGTCAGAAAATTATTTCATAAACAGTTCCTATCCATTTATCGTGCTATGTAGTTGAGAGGATACTTACAGGGAATGCAGATCTGACAGATTCTGAAATGCTGAGTTCCCCACAAAAGACAAAGGATTATCATATAAATGTCTGAGAAAGAAAAAAACGTGTTTCAGTCATTGTTCTTACAGACACTGTCTGCTGAATACTAAAAATAGATGCACAAACATCACTTACATAGTTCTTAGAAGGGGGTTTCCTGCAAATGCACCATCAGGAATTACGGAAATGTAGTTACTGTGAAATCCCCTAAAGATATTAGCAAAGAAGAAAACCAGAATTAAAGAATATACTGCCAGCAGATTCAACCAATAGATATTTTCTTCACACCTACTCAATTCCCAAGCCTGCCAAAAACAGGATTGTAACTGAATAGGAATAAGTCAAACTGTAGGACTAACTCTGAAGGTACGATTTCTGTCTACAGCACACCAGCTCACCTGAAAATATTTCATTTATAAGAAACTATTCTGTCCAAAACACAATCCTGGGCTTTCTTTCTTCTTCCTTCTCGCTTAAGGAGAGGACAAGGAAGATGTGTGTGATCAGTAAGTACTTAATTCTGCTACTGGAGGCCAAAACAGCTTGTGATTAAGATCTATGCTAATGACTCTCCTGAATAAATTACTTGCTTATATAACTCCAAAACCATTTTCAATAGGCTCCCTCTCTAGCTGATGATTATATTTTCCTTTAATTACAGCTTCACTTAGCATAACTTAATCTGATTTAGGTTGCTGCATAATGAGAAAAGCATTTATAAAGATCCAGGAATTTCTTTTTTTGTTTATGGAAAGGAGAAACAAAACTGATAAAAAGGGAGAATAAGTAATACTCACAACTCCTTTAGATTTGGGAGTGCTTTTATGGCTTCAGGGAACTCTACCATGTTATTATAATTCAAATCCCTGGAATAAACAAAGCAGGAAAATTATAAAATTCTTAGCAGTCATCATGAATTGTCAAAAAACTTTTTAAGACAATTCAATTAAAGTAAAAAGTTCTCAGAACATCTTTAACCAGACCATAGAAACTGTAACTTAGATTTAGTCTTCTGATGTTTTACATGCTTTATAACCAGCTAATAACTTAGGTAAGATATTTAGTATTATCCAGAGGATTATTCATATTAAGTCAAATGACATTTCCTTACAGCAAAGCTCAGTATTTCAACACCTCACAGACTCTTCTTCAACAGAATTTACATGGAAATGAACTAAGATTTCAAAGTTAAAAAAAAAAAAATAGACACAAATGACTACTCTTTATTAGCTTACTAAGAAAACTTTTCTTTCAGGTTTATAAAACAAACAGTAAAGAAGCAGACCTTGAAGCAAAACCCAGTACAAACACTGAACAGAAGCAGAGGGAAATCTCATCTCACTGCATCAGCACACATCAGTGATAGGGACCTGTCAAAATCTCAGTTAACTTATCACAATTCTAACAGGACCTGCTACAGCCTTTTTTTGCAAAAGGGGCTCCTTTGCTCCAGCAGCAAAAAGATTCTGATAGTCTTACATCAGCTGTGCATATTTACAGAGCACCTAATTATTACTTAATTGAAGTTCTGAGAGAGTGACAAGGCAGCTGGAGTAAGCCCCATGCCTGGACCGATCCACACTCCTCAGGCTAACAGATGTTGTCACAGGGTTGCCCTTGCCCACTCTCATTTGTTTTATTTATTTAGCATTCTCCTAAGCACAACCAACTGCAGCACTGAGGGATATATTGCCTCTTAGACATTCCCTGAGCAAGCTGAAGGGCAATGGGAAAGCAAACGAGGCACTAACAGCCACTCCTGGCCACGGAGGCACTGCAGGTGAGGGGTGCTGGAGGCAGGCCCTGGCCATGACCAACACTCAGTGCTGAGGGGAGCATGAACTGTCACGTGTCAGTATGAAGGTACGTGCAGAGAACTGGGGTGCAGGTCTCACAGGGGGCACTGGGCTGGTCCCCACCAGGCTGCAGAGGACTGGCTCACAACCTGCGGGGACACGGAGTGAGGCTCTCCTGGGCAGGGGAGCAACAGCCTGCTGAAGCCCTCTGAGAAACCTCCTGTTGTCACACAACGGCTTTGGCAGCGTATCTTAAATATGTTTAATCCTACAGTAAATCTGAGAAACAAATATTTGTTCCTTATCACCCACGGGGCCACACAAACACTTTTGATATATCCTCCCGATTCAGTGGGGTGCTATGCAAAGATACCCCAGGTAGATCAGGGCTAGGAACACCAGAGCCACATCATCCAGCATGACATTTCACCCAGGCTAATGTTTACCTGCTTCTCAACATAGTTAATTAGTTTTGGTGGAGCACTGCACTGATAACCAGCCTTCAGTCCTGAAACCTGAGCCAGACCCAAGTGTCAGTGCTATGTGTCACATGGTGCACACATGCTTTATTTGAAAAACCTTCACCACACCAGCACGGTAACCTTGATTAAGCTGGGAATGAGAAAAACACTGAACAACAAAATTACTTCAGGAAGCATACTTACAAAGTTTCAAGGTTGTCTAATCCATCAAAACAGTGCTTTCCTATAGTCTTTATTTTATTATTATGAAGATGTCTGAAAAGCAAAACCAAAACAAGTATGAAAACAAGCGAATAATTTCACACAAGTTAATAAATGAGCAGGTATTTCTGTGCAATCAAGACAGTCAAAAACATTGGAGTGGATTATGTAGAAGAATGTCTTTCAATTCCAGACAGAAATATTTTATCCTCATATGGGAACAGAATAGATGGCCTGCAGTCAAGACATTTACTCAGTATCCAGAAGTGTGATAAAAATATGATTTAAACATATGAATGAAACTTATTTTCATATCCATCCTTGGAGATATTCAAGGCTACATGGAAACAGGTCTAGTGGCAGATAATATTTTCTTCTTTTAATACCTCTGAAAGCTTTCTCTGACAACCAGTGGTCTGGAATATTCATTAATAAAATGAGCTGTCAGGAAAATACATAGCAACCTCATTACCCACAGCACATCTGACTTGGTTTAGAACAAAGTCTTAAGTGAACCTTCAGCAAGTTGTCTAGTATACATGGTATCATCTCCTGTTAGTGGTATAGGTGGGGACTAGACAACTGAGTTAAAACATAGCAAATAGCATTTTCAGTGCCATCCTAGATTCATCAAAGCTGTAAACGGGGACAGAACCTAAGTGCCCAAAGAAACACAGTTACAAATACTCACAGAACAACAAGGCTTGAAAGGTTTGTAAATGCATAGTCAGGAATGTGTGTTATTTTGTTGAGAGCCAGCGTTAAGGCCTGCAGAGAGGGAAGATTGCTGAGTGGATGGATGGGAACTTCAGTCAAGCTGTTGTCATCCAGCCAGAGGTGACGCAGCTGCACCAGCCCCTCAAAACTGTCCTCTGGTATGGCAGTGATGTGGTTAGCATCTAAACGCCTACAGGAAAACAGAGAATCCACAGAGTAAGCTCACAAGTAACTGATAAGTAAAAATATCAATTAAAATCCTGTTACTCCTGAGTACTTTTTTTTTTAAGCTTAAATAGGCTTTACTGGAATAATTTCATATCAGAAGGCTTAAAGGTCCACTGAATGATGCATGAACACCCTTTCAAGGCAAATGAAGGCACCATAAACAAAAGCTTCATTAAAAAAAAAATTCTTCTCAGACATTTTTAATAAAACATTTTAACAAATTCATATACTTATCATCAGCTTAAAGTGGATTGGTAACTCCATAGACAACTCCTCCCCAAAAACCCTCAGCTGCTAATACTGGAACAAGTCTTTAAAATGGTACCTTGACAGTGGATGCACAATTGCAGAGGCACAGGCTCATTTGAAGGGGTTCTCCCTGTATCTACATTGTTGATAGCATCATGTGCTGTAATTCCCTTTCTTTTGTGGTACTGTTACACCCCTTGGGCAACTACTTTGGTGAACAGATTATTAAAAGCAGTTCCTAAGTAAAGTCAGAGTATGAATTATCCTGACAAATAAAACACTATATCATCGACTAAACCAGTGACATTTCTTTCACACTTGCACATGATCCTTTCTCAAATGCTCCACAAGAAAATGCAAAACAGCACATCAGCACTGTTGCCTATTGGACATTACTGGATGTGCTGTCACACTTTTTCCCAAATGAGCTCCCATTGTAAACGTCAGTAGTAGTAACACATGTGGACTGCAAACTATTTTACTTTCATGCAGAAAGTCAAACCAGAGGTGACAATTAGCTCTGCTACGTTACCAGCTCACCTATGCTATGGAGTTTCACCACTTCTTCCAGTTCCAAAGCCAAAAAAAAAAACCCCAAAAAAACAACAAAAAAAAAACCACCAACCTCCTCCACACCTGGAAACCTAGGAGGCTGAAATGCATGTGCTGAGCTCTGGCTCCAGATGTGAGGCCCTCACGATGGGAGATGCAGGTGTTACGTCAGAGTTTCACCCAGAATCCTGATCCATGACAACTGACAACCCTGATACTGTAGCTCCCTGTCTGATGGCTTTGGCAGCAACAGCAGAAGCTCTCACACAAAATGACATGTGTTTTTTCCTCATGCAATACACTCTGAACCAATTTGGGTTTACATCTTCCTACACTAGCAGCGTAGTTCCTTGTACAGCATCACTGGGAACCAGTTCAGGTCTGTTTACACTATCCCATCTAACCAGATGTGTTGGGGAATAAAAAAGTGGAAAACTACGAATACTGGAAGCTTCAGCTTGGATTTGCACAGCTGGAATCCCCGGGAATGGGCAGTGGCAAGGGATCACTCAGGAGGAACCAAACCATCAATAAAGCATTTTTCTTCCTATGTGGATGAGAGGAAGGGTCAGCAGTGATAGCCCACAAGATGAAAAAAACAGACTATAACCAACCCGAGCCAGTACAGGGGTGACAGCAACAGGCAATGTTTGACTGTCCTCTGACCTAGAGGCTGTCTTCTCTAGGTCATACCAAGCTGAAGCATGGTGACTTCACTGCAAACATGGAAGAAAACACCTTGCATAACTGTTCTGAAATGCCTGGGACACCAGCCATGGTACATGTGCTGCTGTCTGGGGAGACAGAACACAAACCCTCCTCCATTACCATCCACGTTCATTACGATACAAATCAGCACAGGTTCCGAGTTCTATTAAGCATTCATTTTGTTTCCAAAGCCATGATCAGACATGCTCTTTAAAGTCTAGCTGGGTTAGTTTAAGAAGTCATTGCCTCCAGCCATTCATCCTATCCCTCTCTGGGCTGGCAGAGAGGGCCCAAGGACTGCTGCGTTTGTCCCCAGGCAGTCATGACAGCTTAGATAGTTGTGAAAGTGCTTCTGGACCCCAACACTTAAAGGAGGTGCTGAATTCAAAGGGAGAAGATAAGCTTCATCACGAATAAAAGCACTTAATCTATTTCTGTAGAAGAGAGTTCTGTTGTGATGCACAGTTAACATATTTTAAATTATTAGAAAAAAAAAAACTCAGCAGCTAAATTTCCATGTAATAAAAAGTCAATACATACATCGAATTCAGCAATAAATAGAACTGTCCAACTGGCAGCTTTCAGCTGAAGGCTGAGGTGCCATTAGCTCTAAAGCTGCACATCAAAGAGTTAATTCCTAGGGTTGCTATACTGGTACCCCCTTATCGTTTGCCCCATGGTCTGACAGGTGTGTATGCTGTTCTGTTTGAATGCTTTTAGGCTGCACTGAGACTGGAACATTTCAGAGAAATGAAATGTCTGATGATAACAAAAAAAAAAAAAGGGGGGGGGGGGGAAGAGGAAAAAAGCCTGCGGCTCTGCTTCAGAAAAAAAACACTACCAAAACGAGAAACTACCTGTCTTTCTTCTCTCTTAAAAATTCACACACCTCCCTGAAGATCAAAAGAATTATTTTCCAGTGGAATAAACATATCCGAGTCTTCTCCAACTCATCTCCTGTTCCCCCCACCCCTTCTGCACTCCAGCACAGCACAGGCTGGAGAGAAGGCCTCAGCTCCCGGGGCTGCCTGCCTGTGCCCATGTTTGTACTTCCACCCTGCTCCCTGCTCAATCCATTGACTCCAGTAGACTTTGGAAAACAAAACCACAGAGCGAAGCCTCAAGCCCTGCTCCTCCTCCCCCACCGCTGAAGCAGAAGATGACCAAAGAATGGATGCATGCAACGAAGGAGTCAAACTGTCGAGCAGGGAGAACAAAGAGGACCATGGAGGATACGACGGGCCCCTCATCCCCAGTGTGCCTTATGGAGACCTCTGTCCCACAGCACAGGCAGGCTGAGTGCCCAAGTAACTCTGCATCTTAAACTGATGGCTCTCTACAGCCGTCCAGCCTGTTGTGTTCATCTTTTCCCCACAACAGTAACACTGAGGTGGGGAAAGACCACCACCCCCTGCTGTCATTGAGCGGTGAGATTTGGAAGGTCCAAGAGGGTGCTTCTCTGGCTCGCTGTCACTTCTTGGCAAACTTTTGGCACCGTTTTAATGAATGTGATGTCTGAATAGATCTCAAAGTCATCAGCGATGCCAAATCATAAAGCCAAAGTCAAGCAGAAAGACAGGACATCAGGCTGGGAGTGTTTGTATCTCCCCCTCTCCATTTACAAAGAGACTCCCCAATCTCTCTCTGAAGATCACTGTGCTCGCCCAAGGTTTTCCCAGAGGCAAACAATATATGAATAACAGTTAAAAATGAACAGTTTGCTCAAAGTTTTCACCAACCTGCACTGACAGTTTTAAAGGGAAAACCTGTGATCTACAAGTGTTACAGCAACAAGCACAGCATCTAAAGAATCCAAGTGGGTATTTTTATGATTACACTATTTACTGGTGCTGGATTTCTGTTATTACTTGTCATACCTCAAGACTTATTTTTAACTAATACAGTCATTTCTGTCTCATCCAGTTTTTCTGTTTCTTTAGGCTTCTTAAGCATCGGTCTGATGTGTCACCACAGTTATTTTATTTTCCTCTTCCAAAGAGTCAGAGCTTATCCACATTATGTTCAAAGCACAAAACACAGCTGAAATGTTTCTATGTAGTGTGAAATGCACCTAATGGAGTACTTTGTGAAAAAAACAGAATGCAAAACTCTAATATTTAATAACTTTCACAAAATATTACAACTGAGAACCACGTCTTTTCTTTAACATGGGATAAGGGATTATTCACTAGCTCCAGTAACCAGCAAAGTACAAGTAATATCCTTCACTTGGTCTGAACTTTTTACAAAGACTGTCCTTTTCCATTAAAGTGTTAAAGAGAAGACTGTTCTTTAAATTAGAGCTTGCAGCGTGTACTTAAATTCCTTAACCTTTCAGAAGCTACTCCAATTCCAGCTCCCCTATAGGCATTGGCTTGTGAGAGGCCTTTACATTTTAGTCTATAAATTCAGAGTTCACTTGCAGAGCTGTCACCTTCACTTTTATTACCTGTCAGGTTCCCTCCTCACACAAACTCCAACTCCACAAGAAGAAAGAGCAGGAAGATGATAGAAACCTATATATTCAGCAGCTCTTATGTCAGTATTTGACATATTGTTAAAACAAGTAAAGAACATAGCAACTTAAAGGTCTTCAAACAACTAACTCAACTTTAAGGAAACTGTAAAACTATTATGAACTCTTACCTCAATTCAAATGAATAGAAATTACAAAGTCTAACACACATATAATGAATTCTTTGTATTTGTATAGTAGTAGAAACACACTAAAAAATGCCATTCTGATTCCAGGATATTTCACATTTTCATAAAGCCTGTCACTACAAATCATAGGCCATGCCTACCAGTAGTACATCAGTGTATGGAGGTGGCATGGCAGCTTTAACAGACTTGTACTAATAGCAAGAGTTTAACATTGATGTTAATGAAAGGAAAATCACTCCCAACCCTTGTGTTAAATCACTTCTGCTCAATGGCAATCATTAAAGAACTTTGCTCTTTAAAGTGCTCCTTCAAAAACCACAAAAGAAATCACTCAAATAACACTGGAGTAGATTTTTAGGTTTTGAAGTCGAGTACTGATAAGCCTGGTACCCAGGTACAATGCAAGGCAATAAACCCACCGTGTTAACAGGGGCACTTTAACATACTCGGCGCGTGTGCTCACTGCACCACGCAGCAGCTCTCTGTACCTCCTGTGTGGAGGACATCAATACAAGGATTTGCTTTATTTGAAGACAAATTTACAGCAGCTCTCAGAAACTAAGTAGCCAAAGCTACTTCAGCTACCAATACAGATGTGCTAGCACCGCTATTTCTTCCATTTAAATCTTTAAGATAGTGCCAGTGAGAGATTACACAAGTTGCTACAAATTACCCCAGAGGATTCAGCTGATCTTTCCTTAGGTGTTGCACAACTTTAACCACCCCAGTTAAGTTTCTGATCGTTCCATTTCTAAATAATTCCCCAATTTTTGTTTAAACATTAGCAAT